TGTTTCTTGGCCAAGCAAGTCTCTTCTTCTTATTGGTGTCCTTTAGTAGTGGTTTCTTTGCAGCAACTCGACTATGAAGGCCTGATTCACACAGTCTCCTCTGAACAGTTGATGTTGAGATGTGTCTGTTACTTTAACTATGTGAAGCATTTATCTGGGCTGCAATTTCTGAGGCTGAGGTAACTCTAATGAACTTATCCTCTGCAGCAGAGGTAACTCTGGGTCTTCCATTCCTGTGGCGGTCCTCATGAGAGCCAGTTTAATCATAGCGCTTGATGGTTTTTGCGACTGCACTTGAAGAAACTTTAAAAGTTCTTGAAATGTTCCGTATTGACTGACCTTCATGTCTTAAAGTAATGATGGACTGTTGTTTCTCTTTGCTTATTTGAGCTGTTCTTGCCATAATATGGACTTGGTCTTTTACCAAATAGGGCTATCTTCTGTATACCCCCCTACCTTGTCACAACACAACTGATAAATTCCACAAATTAACTTTTAAGAAGGCACACCTGTTAATTGAAATGCATTCCAGGTGACTACCTCATGAAGCTGGTTGAGAGAATGCCAAGAGTGTGCAAAGCTGTCATCAAGGCAAAGGGTGGCTGGGGCGGCAGGTAGCTTAGTGGGTAAGAGCGTTGTGCCAGTAACCGAAAGGTCGCTGGTTCTAATCCCCGAGCCAACTAGGTGAAAAATCTGTCGATGTGCCCTTAAGCAAGGCACTTAACCCTAATTGCTCCTGTAAGTCGCTCTGGATAAGAGCGTCTGCTAAATGACTAAAATGTAAATGTATTTGAAGAATCTCAAATTTAAAAGATAGACAATTTGTTTAACACTTTTTTGGTTACTACATGATTCCATGTGTGTTATTTCATAGTTAATTAAGTGTGTCCAAACTTTTGACTGGTACTCTATGTTACAAATTTGCAAGACATACAATATGTTACTAATTTGCAAATGCATAATATATCACGAATTCTAGCAGTGTGGCTAGCTAAAAAGTAGTAAGTAGTTGACAAGTTGCTAATTAGTTAAACTGCCAAAGTTGTCTGTGATGAGAATTGAACTCGCAACCTTTGGGTTGCTAGACGTTTGCGTTATATATTTGAGATTTTTAGTTCCAACCGCCCTGTCTTTGTGAGATGCAGAGTAGGTGAACGGATGATCTCTGCATGTGTGGTTCCCACCGTGAAGCATGGAGGAGGAGGTGTGATGGTGTGGGGGTACTTTGCTGGTGACACTGTCTTCAAGGCACACTTAACCAGCATGGCTACCACAGCATTCTGCAGCGATATGCCATCCCATCTGGCTTGCGCTTAGTGGGACTATCATTTGTTTTTCAACAGGACAATGACCCAACACACCTCCGGGCTGTATAAGGGCTATTTAACCAAGTGGTAGAGTGATGGAGTGCTGCATCGTATGACCTGGCCTCCACAATCCCCCGACCTCAACCCAATTGAGATGGTTTGGGATGAGTTGGACCGCAGAGTGAAGGAAAAGCAGCCAACAAGTGCTCAGCATATGTGGGAACTCCTTCAAGACTGTTGGAAAAGCATTCCAGGTGAAGCTGGTTGAGAGAATGCCAAGAGTGTGCAAAGCTGTCATCAAGTCAAAGGGTGGCTACTTTGAAATATCTAAAATATATTTTGATTTGTTTAACACTTTTTTGGTTGCTACATGATTCCATATGTGTTATTTCATAGTTTTGATGTCTTCACTATTATTATACAATGTGGGAAATAAAGAAAATCCCTTGAGTGAGTAGGTGTGTCCAAACTTTTGACTGGTACTGTACATGAAACAGGAACCAACTTTGTTGTGATTCTAAAAGCTACAGGGGATACAAATTAAAGTGATATTTGAGACCTCTCTCTAAACAATTAATTGTACACACATTATGTTTTCAGTTTGTGAGTGTGTGATATGGGGTATAGAACAGTTTATTAACACATTTATAAAGAAAAACATTGATAACCAATAACAGCTATGGTGACACTGCCATGTTGATCTGAGCTTTGCTGTTGGAAAACCACTACAGTGTCCGACTTTCAGCTATCACAGATACACCTACGCCGACTTCCGTCATCGACTTTAGTCTACAGTCAGCTTTGTTAGCCTTACTACTCGAACACACCCAAAGAGTCATTCATTAGAACAATACACCCTATTTATTTCATTCATGTATTTCTATTCAGTTTCCCAAAAATATTATTTTCACAAGCATCCTTTTCAGGGACAACTAGCTCAGTGAGTGGATGTAAGGGAATATTTGTTCTAATCCAAATAGAAACTGCCAGTATGACTCTCCTTGGAAAAATCCTTGACACTTTTCCTTTATGCTAAGGGCTCAAGGCCAAAGTCCTCTTCACACAGGTAAGGTAATAGGTCACGGGGAAAGAAGTCGTCATGGTTTCACCCATGCAAAAGGTTACTACAGGCAGAGAGGAAGAGGCGAAGCGAGAGGGTTTACTCCGCCCAAAATCTGTCCATGAAAATAAGACCACGAATTGAGGGATTTTTGTATGGAGGTCAGTGAGAGTGTAGAATTTGGTCAACAAAAAATGTAATTGCTAATTTGCTACGTAAGGTTTATTTGATCTATTAGTAGTTTAGTAACTGTTAGGTTGTTACGAATGCAGTGATATAAGTGGAAGCATGTGGCATTTAAAAAAAATATATATATTTATATCGGACCTGTGCCTGTTGTTCACGCACGTATCTGCCCTCTCATTGGCTAGAATGGTCCCACCTGATCTCGCCTCCTTTCGCCTGCCTTTCATCTTTGAGGAAATGTATTTCCATTGTTAGAGCGGTCACTCCTTATAGCGTTTGTGACAGCATGGGAAGTGCCATTGAGGCTACAACCCATAGGAATCCCCAAACAGTTGACTACTTTGAATACTTTAAAATGTCTGGAAGCATGGTGGAAGCCCTCAATGATGCTGACCATGCTAAAACGGCATTTTTGCCACAAGATGACCTCTATCATTCTCTATGGTAATCTCATATTGCATATTTTGCAGTGGGCGTCTCTCACAGCAGTTTTTGTAGTTTCCCCAACCCCGAGATTACTGTTCTCCTAGCAGCAAGATATTATGCTGGCAGAATCACAGATTTTTTTCTCCAAAATAAAAGCCCCCCTGCATAGCCATGCTAAACTTTGGGAATACTTTTTTGTGCAGTACAACTAAATAAATAACTAAAGCAATTCAACTGTTTTTCACAGCATTACAACCACCTTGGATAATTTAACGTATTTTTTATATTGTATTATTTGTACGAGCATTTCTTTTGAAAGTATACACAAATACTAGTACAGTATGTTGAAAGCTATTGTGTAGGCTATATTTAAAGAAATTAGCTTTTAATACAATACAAATATATGTTATTGGAATTAACCTACTCAATAGAGTCTGCAAAACTTAAATTGCTGTCTTGTGCTGGGCAACGGGTTTAATAGGGAGTACTGGTGACTCCTTACTCCACCCATTCCATTCAATGGGAGACTTATTGGGTTGTAGAGATTTTTTTTTATTTTCGCTCGGCCCACAATGCAATTCACTGTCTTAGACTGTACAACGGATACATATTGGCTTGTAGAGGGAACTTTTCTACCTGTCTCAGCTAAAGTGGGGTTAATAATACTCAGTAGGGTCTCTACTAACCAAATATGGTTAGTTTTGGAGGAGGACTGTGTAGTACATATCCAGCAGCACTTCAATCTCCACCCTCTCCATAGGCTGCAATGCAATACACTATAATACACAGTACAGTCCATGGGATACATATTGGCTTGTAGAGAGAAAACGTTTCTACCTGTTTTAGCTAAAGTGGGTTGGGAAATACTCAGTAGGGTCTCTGCTAACCAAATATGGTTTGTTTTTGAGGGGGACGGCCTGCTGCTGGCTTTTCACACGGCCCCCTCCATAGCCCCCAATGTAATTCACTTTAATAGACTGTACATGGGAATGGGATACATATTGGTTGTATAGAGAACCATTCTACCTGTCTCAGCTGAAGTGGGTTGGAAAATACTCAGTAGGGTCTCTACTAACCAAATATGGTTCGTTTCTGAGGGTGTGTCGGACATATCCAGCAGCACTTCATTCTCCCTACTGAGTATTTTCCACCCCACTTTAGCTGAGACAGGTAGAGCATTTTCCTCTCTACAACCCAATATGTATCCCTTATACAGTGTATTACAGTGTATTGTATTGGGGCCTATAGAGGAGGCGGAGTGAAAAGCCAGCAGCAGGCGGTGCGACACAGAATATATTTTAACCCACTTTAGCTAAAACAGGTAGAAAAGTTTTCTCTCTACAAGCCAATATGTATCCCATGGACTGTACAGTGTATTATAGTGTATTGCATTGGGGGCTATGGAGAGGGTGGAGAACGACGTGCTGCTGGATATGAACGACACAGTCCTCCAAAACTACACATATTTGGTTAGTAGAGACCCTACTGAGTATTTTCCAACCCACTTCAGCTGAGACAGGTAGAATAGTTCTCTATACAACCAATATGTATCCCATTCCCATGTACAGTCTATTAAAGTGAATTACATTGGGGGCTATGGAGGGGGTATTTTCCATCCCACTTTAGCTGAGACAGGAAAGAAGTTTTCTCTCTACAGCCCAATATGCTCAACATACCAGTGTCAAAGTTGTATTTTTTTTCATTTTTGGTCTTAATTATTATTATTTTCTTCATAAATTACTTATTGGCTTTTCTTGTTAGCACAATAAAAGTGGCCTTTGATTAAAATGCAATATCTTTTGAATAAGTTATCCACATTGCAATGTTTTGAAATGCGGACTTTTATTTTGAAGGCTTCATCATTTCCATGCGAATGTGACGTCATTGTTTGTGCTGCTGGCAGAATACTAGTGCTGGCATTAAGAGAGAGGAGTCCCCGGGTGCACAAGTATACAAACCGGGATATTCAAGCGAAGAAATGCCACCAAGTATGACTGAGAGCTCGGCGAATAAATTGATAAATGGAGGTGTTTGCCACCGGACCGCTAACGGTAAAAAATCTTCGGGAAGGAACGGTTTCGTGAAGAATCATTGCTTGTTCCAACAACCACAACAGAAGAAGTATCGGCGCCCGACTGAGAAGGTGAGGCCCACCCGTTAGCTACCGCTACTACCGCTCGATGGCAATGTGGAAGAAAAACATTTGCCTTCAGATATTGAGATATATAGCCTGATATTTTTCAGAAAATGAACTGCCTTTTATTTTCATTGTGTTTTAAAGTCTCCCTTTGTTTACAAGTAGATTGAATAACCACACAGCCCAAACAAGTATCAAACAGTTTAATAATTCGCTACATTTGTAATTTTATAACCCAGTCTTACAATTGTATCATTGTAACAAGATTGATAGGGTGGATGTTTTCTAACTAAATTATCAAGCCTCAGAATGTGTGTGTGTGTGTGTGTGTGTGTGTGTGTGTGTGTGTGTGTGTGTGTGTGTGTGTGTGTGTGTGTGTGTGTGTGTGTGTGTGTGTGTGTGTGTGTGTACTGAAGGATAGGCTATGGGTGTTGTCAGCTATGTTTTCATTGAAAGTGAGTAGGCAAGTTTACAGTACACAATCGGCCACATCCTTGACACATTTTGACCATTGGTTTTTATTTAGTTTTCCCAAAAGCCACTTTTAAAGTAATAATTGACATCATAAATTCACTCTTTTAAACTCAAAACACCTATAAAGGTTTCTGCCACCTGATAACGTGATAATAATGGTATGACTGTAGTAGTACAGCACTTAGCAATAACTACACTGTGTTTTTTCGCTCACTGTGTCAAAGTGTGTGTGTGTGTGTGTGTGTGTGTGTGTGTGTGTGTGTGTGTGTGTGTGTGTGTGAGTGTGTGTGTGTGTGTGAGAGAGATTGTAGAAGGGCTGGTCTCTGTTTACACTGACACTACTATGAATACCAGTCAGAACGGGGAGGCAGAGCTTTCGTTGTGTAACAACTGGAGAGGAGTACTTTGTCTCCCAGAAACACACACACCCCCCCTCCCCGGGCAGCACACGTACAACACAAGCCAGCACCTGGGGAGAATGGCTGCTAGCTATGGGAGTGGTCCCTGGCAGGGCAGGGATGTCTCTGAGGAGAAAGATATGGAAGAGGGAGAGAGGAACACGGTGGCAGTTGAGATACATTTGCCATTGAAATTGTTAGGTTTGTGTCCCATTCTACATCCTGATATTACCAGGTTCTGACCACTAGATAGAGCTGTTCCTACTTTTAGGTGATATTTGTTAAAGGGATAGTTCACCCAAATTACAAAATGACATTGGTTTCCTTACCCTGTAAGCAGTTTATGGACAAAGTATGACAGCAACCTATTCTTTGGTTTTGTTTACCTGGCACCTGTTTTAAAAGATAACTTTTTAGCATTTGTGGCACAAATCCAATGCAAGTCCATTTCTTTTGACAATATCTTTAGATTCCTCATGTCTAACTCATTGTTTAAAAAAATGTCTGATTGTATGTTAGGTACTATATTTATTGAATATTATATGAATCCTATAAATTAAAATGGCCAATTTGGGTGCAGTCAATTAGCTTAATTTCTCAGAGACAAAATAATGTTGCAGGAACGCTAATCTTATCTGTTTCTAACAACAGAAACCATTTCAGAACAATCTGAGATGGTGGGTGTTGAAATCCTCTTGTGCTTTTCGAGGTGCAACGGCCCACATACTGTAACTGTCCTGTAGGCTACATTTCCTGTTTCCACCCCGGGTTCAAAGCAGAGTCTCTTCTCACATGACAGTTGGTCTTAGGACCGTTGCTAACTCAAAGCTATAAATGGTGTTCAAATAAGATCTGTCTGTTTTTAGTAGTCTGTGGTAGTGGCTGTAGGGCCTAGGACACTAACTGTATATTTCACTTTAAACATGAAGCAGCTCTGTCTCTGTGCATTTCAGTTAGCTTAAAGGTCTAGTTGTTAGTAGTCAGACCTGAGGGTGTATGTGGAGTAAGTCGCTCTGGATAAGAGCGTCTGCTAAATGACGTAAATGGAAATGAGTAGTAAGAGGGCTATTTCCTCATGTTCGTTCCCAATGGGAGACTGACCCTGGGAGCCAGTTTGACCAGTTCTTAGCTCAGTTGAGCACATGGCCTGTGCGCGCACACACATACACCACAAAGGTATTTCAGAGAGGGGCATGACTGGGTCACATGTGGTTGCTAAGCAGCCAGGGGTTTAATGTGGGATGAGGCTGACACTTCAGGTCATTTGATTTCAGAGTATAGTTTTCAGGACAACATGCCACAGTTCAGGTCAGCCTCAATTGGAGGATAGCCCTCTGAGCCCAGGGGCTGCGTGAGGTGATCTGGCTTTTTAGGAGGGGGCAAAACAACCGCGTTCATTCACTTGTGTTGAATATTTTGTTTTAAATATAACTTGAAATGATATTGAGTGCTCTGTTTTTGTCCCTCTGTGTTTTTAACAAACGATCTTTGAATAAAGAAGAATAAAGGCCTATTTTTCCTCATGTTTACCTCTGAGTTGTATTAATGTCCATAGAAAGGCTTGATGAGCCTCTTAAAGTGAGTTGTTAGACACTCTTGATCTATAAGCCAAGCTAAACACCTTTTCATGTTCACACTCTCACAAATCACCACTTACTCAGAGCCTACAGCTCATGTGTTATGGCAGACTGTCTGCTTTTTGTCAGAGAGAGACTACTCTTGCTGTGCTGCACATTGGCTGAAGGTGTTCTGTCTTCTCTCATATTAAAACATGTTTCTGTACTGGTGATTTAAACATTAAACAGATTACAACAAGAAGTTAATATTTGACCTAGCAAGCAGAGAAACCCATGTCTGCTGAACGGGCTAAGGTAGATTACTCTCGTCTAGACACCTAGGCCTATGTTGTTTTATGTAGATGACAGTTTCACCCTAGAGTCTAGACCTGGCCTATGTGATCAAAGGGATAATGAATTCTCTTAAATGTCACTCGTTAATGTTTTTCTCACCTTGGCTGTCACCCATGGGACAGAAGTAACTTCAACTACCATTAGGGTACGCTTTGCTAAAGCCCCCTAAGGCCTGTGTTCTTACACAGGCTAAGCAACAACTAGGCCTACCCCAAAAACAATGGTGGTTCCATGTCACCTTGTTTTGCATTAACCAAATTTCATGCAAAGATCAACACAAAATCACTTTGAGTAAGTAACACAACCATCTTCTGTTTGTCTGTGTATTTATTCTTCTCCAGAACAACCATGTTGTGCGTAACGCCAGCCTGTACAACAAGCCATTTGTGGAGCAGTTTGAGGAGACTCCTCTGCTGGTGGCAGTCCTCACCTACATGGGCTACGGCATCCTCACCATCTTTGGGTACCTCAGAGACTTCCTCCGGAACTGGGGCATCGAGAAATGCCATGTGGCCAGAGAGAGGGACGAACAGAAGGTAAGAGATGCAGACAGTATTTTTTTATATATACTGTTGCATTTTGGTCATTTAGCAGACACTCATATCCAGAGTGTCTATACATTTGTTTGTTCTGTCCAGTTCATGACAATTGGATTTCTAAAGAACAAGGTATTTGCCACTAACCACTGATCTGTGATCAGATTACCCCACTGGCCCACCCCCAATCCTAACCTAATCATTAAGGGGTTTGAAAAAAGATCTGACCCTGTATCAGTGGTTAGGGATAACTTCTACACACTCCCTTCTCGCCACTCTCACTCTGCTCCCACCCTAACTGTCTTTTACTGGATTTGTTGTTTTGATATAGACCTAACTATTACAATTCTAATATTTACTCAAGCACTGGGTGAATAAGGTGCGTCTCCTTGGTGACAATCATATTCGGGTGTGGGAATATTAGACGTGTCTTTCAATTTTAACTTAATTGTGGTTTCAGATCTCAGTCGAGATCAATTGTCCGCAATGTTTTGTGTTCTGATAAGGGCTCTGACTGATGTCACGCACCCAAGAAGGCTCAACCAATCACCCGACGGATAGTAATGACTTTTCCTCCGGCTATCCTACAAAAGGAAATGTTGCTATGTAACACAGGAAGGTGTGAAAAAGATAACTCTATGCAGGTCCACACGAGCTTTGGCATTTTCTAAACCTGTTCATGTCACAACCATTATGCTCAGTACAGCCATTATGTCTAACAATTACTCAAGGAAGATTCCACAATAGCTTAAGCGTCCCCCAAACCTGTTATTTGTAAACCACAATGCTCAGTGCAAGCATAAGCTATGTCAAATGAGCTCTCTGAAAGCTTGAAAGAAAGACACACCTGTGTGTTTGCATTGATTCAGACCTAGCTAATCATTCCAACGTCTGACAATGATGTCTCTCTGTCTGTGTTGTAGGACTTTGTTCCGCTGTACCAGGACTTTGAGAACTTCTACACCAGGAATCTATACATGCGTATCCGTGACAACTGGAACAGGCCTATCTGCAGTGTCCCTGGAGCCAAGATGGACCTGGTGGAGAGAGCCTCCAAAGACTACAACTGGACGTTCGAGTGAGTCGCCCACCCTAACAACCCTAACAGGGCTTACTTATAGTGTGTGGGGGCTGCTGCGAGACATTTGTTTGGCACTGTAGCCTTGGGCCTAGCCCTAGAAAATCATGGGAGTAGCTAGGGAGACAAGATGTGTGTGTGTGGGTGGATGGATGGATGGATGGGTTGGTTCATCTATCCTTGTGGGGACCTAAAATCCCCGAAAGTCCCCACAAGGATAGTAAAACAAGGAAAATTCTCCCTTTTGGGGACATTTCCCATATCCCCATGAGGACAATGGCTATTTTAAGCTAACATGCTGACCACACCGCCTGCATCGCGTGCACGAGCGTTGCAAAATACATTTCCACATACATGTTATTCAATCACACTGCTCGCGTGTCAACGAGTGTCTGCGTAGCAGTTGGTGGTGGTAATGCACCTTAAACTGCCATATAAAGTCCAAAGAAGAAGCCTGAAGGAGGAGAGATTACTAGAAACAAACTCGGTTGACCCTTTTATCTGTGGATTAATTGTCGGAGTAGAGGTCCTTGTGCATTTCAGGTAAAATAACAAGCCAATGTTTATATCCCAGGACAAATTAGTTAGCAACAGCAAGCTAGCTAGCTAAATTTAGATACATGTTTAATGCTTTTCGACCTGTCCCCGATTTAATATAGTTGGTTCAGAGTTCATTTTGATATTTCAACCTGCGTGTCCTGATCGCGTCTGGTGTGGGTGGACAAAATCAAAATTCTTACGTGCGGTGTGGTCAGCATGGTAGGTTTAGGGTTACAATTAGGATTACAATTAGGGGTAGAATTAGGGTTAGGGTAAGAGTAAGGAGTTAGGGTTAGGGAAAATAGGATTTTGAATGGAAATACATTTTAGGTCCTCACGAGGATAGAATAACAAAATGTGTGCTTGTCCTTACCAACCTACGTCATGGAAGACATGTCTCTATCATACCCCCTCTATCGCCCTTCAGGTCGTTGCCCTACTTAAAGGACAAATCCACTCAAAAACGATATATTTTTGTATTTTTTTCATTAGTCCAAGTGTCACTGCTTTGCTTCTTGAAAGTCCAAAATCTTAACTTGACTGCTGGAATGACAAACATTTTAGGACTGTATCAAAAGTGGACTAATGGAGAAAAAAAAATAAAAAATTTTGGGGTGGAGTTTTCCTTTAAGAGAGGGGAGACTGTCAGGGGACAAATGTGCTGAATAGAAACCACCAACTGTATTTATTACATGTTATTGTGTGATAATGGTTGACCTCTTTCACTCTTAGCTAGGCCCTAGACGTGGATGTCGATTAAGGCAGCCCTCCGCACCTCTCTGATTGAGGGGTTGGGTTAAATGTGGAAGACACATTTCAGTTGAATGCATTCAGTTGTACAACTGACTAGGTATCCTCTTTCCCTTTCCATATGTGATTTATAAGCTTATTTTCACAACCAAATGTAAGTGTTAGGGAACCCATCACTTCAAGATGCAGTTAAAAACAAAACCTATTCAACCATATTTTGCCTGTAAGGTAGTTAATTTAGCTGCCTTGCAAAAATGATAAGTACTGTATAAAAACAAAAAACAAAGGAAAACCCTTGTCTTGTCAGAGTTGGTCAAAGTTGTCTTTGTCTCCCAGACACACAGGCAAGGTGGTGAAAGACGTGATCAACATGGGTTCTTATAACTACCTGGGCTTTGCTGAGAACACTGGGAGGTGTGCTGACAGTGCCACAGGGTCTACACAGAAGTACGGTGTGGGAGTGGGCAGCACCCGCTATGAGATGGGTAAGACGTGGTTATAATAACCTTCTTGTGGGGAAAAGGGCCATTGTTTTAAAACACTCATATCTGTGGACCTCTGTAGCTCAGGTATAGCATGACGTTTGCAAAGCCAGTATAGTGGGTTCGATTCCCGGGACCACCCAAATGTAAAATCAATCCCGCATGACTGTAAGTCGCTTTGGATAAAAGCGTCTGTTAAATGGCATATGCTATTTAAAACAAAGCACAGATCTAAAATATGCAGTAGTAGAGACGACCTTGTGAGGACAAACTGCTCCACTCATTTTGTTGTTGGTCTTGTTTCTCCATGACCGACTGGCCAGGGGAAAGCTATGATCCCTTATTGATGTCACTTGTTAAATCCACTTCAATCAGTGTAGATGAAGGGGATGAGACAAATAATCTGAACTAAAAACGGCACACATATTTTGTATTTTCTGTGCATCCTTGTCAATCGCTAATCAATATCCAAAACCGGCACACTTTTTTCCCCCTTGAACTTGCACATCATCTTCTTTCTTTTGTGGCACCAATGTGAAGGTTTATGGCAGGGGAAACAGTGTTGCAGTAGTCTAGTGTGTGTAGTGGGAATAATGACAAGTGAACCAGGAAAGCTTTGTGTTCACATTGCCCTAAAAAGGGAACCGGACTACTGCTTGTGGTAATGTCATTTCGCTGAGTCTACCTTTAAAGTAAGGCATCATTGTATTGACATGTTCTTGTATCTGCTGTCTCCAGGTAACCTGGACATCCATGAGGAGTTGGAGCAGTTGGTTGCTAGGTTCCTGGGGGTGGAGTCATCCATGGCGTTTGGGATGGGCTTCGCTACCAACTCCATGAACATTCCTGCTCTTGCTGGAAAGGTAGGAATGCTGCTGGAATGCCTCGCTTTATCTCTCACTCTCTCTGATCTCTCTTTCTCACTAACCATGTTTCCATCCACAGTTGTAATGCAAGTGAAGTACTACCGTATAAAATAAATCACGACAGCTGTGATGGAAACTGGAAGTTTCGGTACAATTGTATGAATGCCGACAGATCATTTGTCCGTTCGACATGGTGGGATCTTTTTATGTCTGTAAAATGAATTATGCGAGAAATAGTGGTGGAAGCGCCTTTATGCTCAAATATTTATTTAATGACCATCAAATTGAAGTAAACTTGGAGACTCGGAAACCATGCAGTTTATTAGGCTGCAGATGAAATAAGTTATGATGAACTTCACAGGGTGGTAAAAGTGCACGGTGCTGTTGGGTACACAGTGTATTTCCTTTTAGTGGTGAAAACATGTTTTGTTTTCATTCACCAGTTGTACATTGGTCTTAAATGGTTAACGCCATTCCAAAACAACCTAGTTTCCTCCATGTGTTCTCAAAACATTAAGATACGGGGTCGTCAATCGTCATAACGCCTGACGACGCCAATCCCCTTGAGGGTAGTAGCATTGGGCGAGGGTAGTAGGGTTGGGCGACGTTACGATAGCATCGTCTATCAACGATGATTGACAGCCATCGTTGATGGTGACGACATTGTGATGTGACAGACGATAGTTTAGTTTATTTGAACTTGATTGGCGCTGCGCAGTAAAAAACGGAGTCTCGCAGCGCACAGCAGGGCAGCACACGTGACATCCCTAGTAGTTTGCCTGTTCCTATTTACTATAGCCTATTTCAATAAATATGTGATAAGGAACGCAAGAGAGAAATGTAGGCCAGACAGAGCAGAGAATTTCACCAAAGCGGCGCAGAATGTCCATTCCAAAATATTTGTTTCTCGCTCTCGGTCAGATGCATGGCCATTAGCCTAAACCTTTTACCTTAACTATCTTGTGTCTCGCGGTATAAAAAAAAAAGTAGCCTATATTCCCTGCTCTCTCCATTTGATAGGCTATGAATATGCATGGATTCTTACCAAATGGCGAATAACATATCTCCTACTAGGCCTATCATAAAAGCTTTAAGACAAGTTCAAGTTATGAACAGTAGCTTATTTCCCAAATATTCTAGGCTATGTGGGTTTGATTCCCAAGGGGGGCCAGTATGAAAAATAAACTAACTGTAAGTCGCTCTGGATAAGAGCGTCTGCTAAATGACTAAAATGTAAATGTAATGAAGGTGTTGTCCTAAAGTTGTTGTGGCTTTAAAAAATATCAAGAATGAAAGTCTATAGCATAGGCTATTCTCAATCACAGCTTTTATGAGAGCGAGAACAAACAATATTATTCATTTTTCTATTATTTTAAGAGGCAAATAAAGCCCACAATGTATAACATAACTCACTACGGGAAGACTGTTCCTCATCAGACAGTCACTGCTCCATCATATGCGTGCCACACACCTGTTCTGCTATTCCACCAGAAAGGAATATTAGAAAACATTTGCCATTGCCTGTACTTAACCCCTTCCCAGGCTTTCAACAACATTATCTTTCGTCATGATTTGTCCAGTTAAATTCGATTTTGCGCTATAGCCCAACTGTTGTTTTAGCAGAGCTTTTTTGTTTTGTTTGAGTTTTTTAATGTATTGGAATGGCCAATAGGGGCCATAGCATCGTATATCATTATGTTTTATGGGTACATAATCACGATGGGACAAAGGTTGACATCGCCTAACCTGCCCCCCCACCCCCTTCTAGCTCTGACACTACTGATAGCTACATTACCCCCCCCCCCCCCCTCCCCCCTTCTAGCTCTGACTCTACTGATAGCTACGTTATTGAGGAAAAAAATACTTTCTATGCTGTCTTAAGATGAATGAACTAACGCTAAGTCGCTCTGGATAAGAGCGTCTGCTAAATGACTGAAATGTAAAAATGTGTGTGTGTTTTGACAGAAAGTAAAGTAAAACCCTAAAAACATTCTTTACCCCCAGAATACTTAAACCGGTGACTATCGGGAGACTAAAGAAAAAGGAGCACTCTGTTTCTGTGTAAAGCTGATAGATTTATTGGCATTCACATATTTATTTGTATTTTTTATTTTACACTTATTTTACCAGATAAGTTGACTCAGAACACATTTTATAGCAAAGACTTGGGGAATAGTTACAGGGGAGAGGAGGGGGTTTGAATGAGCCAATTGGAAGCTGGGGATGATTAGGTGGCCATGATGGTATGAGGGCCAGATTGGAAATTTTGCAAGGACACCGGGATTTAACACCCCTACTCTTACGATAACTGCCATGGGATCTTTAGTGACCACAGAGATTCAGGACACCCGTTTAACGTCCCACCTGAAAGACCACACCCTACACAAGGCAATGTCCCCAATCACTGCCCTGGGGCATTGGGATATTATTATGTATTTTTTGACCAGAGGAAAGAGTGCATCCTACTGGCCCTCCAACTTCCAGCAGCATCTGGTCTCCCATCCAGGGACGTTGTGCCGTGACATCGCATAGTCCATATTCTTTGGTGCGGATAGCTGTTTTGTGTTCAGCTATTCTTACTTTGAGCATGTAAATAGGATGTTGTACCACAATTTATGAAGTATTTTATCTTGTGTTCTTTACCCGAGCGTGGGTGATAGAATACTTTTGTGTACCCTCTCTGAAACACACATGGTCGTCCTCGTCAGAGTAAGAACACACATTTCCTGGTCCTGACAGACATCAGAACCACTGTGGTTAGAGAGGAGGTAAAGGTCCAGTCACATGTACCTGATGGATCATGAGTTCTTAAACCCAGTCGGGTCTCTCATTTTTCTCCTTTCCTCACTTCTTCTCGTAAATTGCGTCATTTGCATAATGAGCTCATTCTGCTCAATCATTCATTCACTAGATTATTCAATTGTGTAACTTGTCCTGCGGTAACTATGCAACGGTGTGTGGTGTCATGTGTCGTCGCGTGATGGCCGACGTGTCATTGACTGTGAGACTGTCTTTAATGCCCTCCCATTCAGGGAAACTATCCTGTATACCACTTTAGTGCTTCAGTGTATTGTATTGCTATGTAAATAAAATGTATGAATATATGTAATTCTAGGGCTGTTTTGATGTAATATATTGTATGAAAGACTTGATATAAATAAAGTTCTTGTAATTTCCAGGGCTGTTTGATTCTGAGTGATGAGTTGAACCATGCCTCTCTGGTGCTGGGGGCTCGACTCTCTGGCGCCACCATCCGCGTCTTCAAACACAACAGTGAGTACACTAACACTAGTCCCACTCAACTACCCCAAGGCCACTACACACTGGGAAACTATACAATAAGAATTACAGAAAGGCTCTGCTTTGGTATCTGTTTACCTAGCACACAGTAGTGGGTGTGCCCATTGGCAACACCCGTCACACACACCTTTACCACTACACAATCTACTGTTCCTCCCTTTGTAATCAGTTAGGTGTGTCACGTAACACAACCATTACCGATAGTCTGCTCCTTTCATGCCAATGTTTTGGTTTAGACTGCTCTAAGACTGGGTGCCAGTCAGTGTTAGACAGCTTGTTGTTGTCTTATCAAGGCTACAATTTAGCATTGTTGAATGTTGAAACATTCAGGGACTCTGGCTGCATTATTCATACCCGGTCTATGTCCTAGTCTTCTCTAACACCGTTCTGTCGGTCTCTCCTCTCCAGATATGGTGAGTCTAGAGAAGCTGTTGAGAGATGCCATCGTTCACGGCCTGCCCAGAACACACAGGCCCTGGAAGAAGATACTCATTCTGGTCGAGGGAATCTACAGGTAGTCTACCTTTTTAGAAAGACTCAAACAAATTCTAACCCTTTGAACTCTGTCATATGTAGGGCCAGATGGATTCTGTGGAGGCATGTTATATAAAAGAAATCGGGTGAAATGAATCAAGCCAAACCGATTATGCGAATACGCTCTTTCTAGCACCCAGAATTGATTGATGTAGAGTGAATCATACTGCAGTGCATTCAGATATAAAATGTGTGTGGCTTGAGTTCTTAAGGTACTTACCATTAAAAGTCAAATCAACCCATCCATAATTATCAATATGGTTGTTAGTAAACCTGCCTCTCTAATCAATATAATTCACTAATGTGTAGTTAAAATGGTCTGACACACCCTTAGGGAACTAAAGAGAAACGGTCATTGTCTTTCCACTGCAAACAATGATCAAGGAGCTGCCAATAAGATGCACTCAGTAGCCAATTTATTTGGTACACCACTCCGTTCCTACAGACAATGAGTCACGTGGCTGTGCCTTGCTATATAAAGCAGGCAGACAGGCATCGAGGCATTCAGTTACTGTTCGATTGAACGTTAGAACGAGTGACCTAAGTGACTTTGAGCGTGGTATGATCGTCGGTGCCAGGCGCGCCGGTTCCAGTATCTCAGAAACGGCCGGCCTCCTAGGCTTTTTCACCCACGACATTGTCTAGGGTTTACCGAGAATTGTGTGAGCGGCAGTCCTGTGGGTGAAAACAGCTCGTTGATGAGAGGTCGAATCAGAATGGCAAGAATCGTGCAAGCTAACAGGCCGGCCACAAACAGGCAAATAACGGCACAGTACAACCGTGGTCTGTAAAACGGCATCTCAGAACGTACAACTCATCGGTCTTTGTCACGGATGGGCTATTGCAGCAGACAACCACACCAGGTTCCACTCCTGTCAGCTAAAAACAAAAAGAAGCGGCTCCTGTGAGCACGCGATCACCAACACTGGACAATTGAGGAGTGGAAAAACATTTCCTGGTCCAACAAATCCCAGTTCCTGTTGCGTCATGCTGATGGCAGAGTCAAAATTTGGCGTAAGCAGCATGAGTCCATGACCCCATCCTTCCTAGTGTCAACGGTACAGCCTGGTAGCGGTGGTGTAATGGTGTGGGGAATGTTTTCCTGGAGCACGTTAGGTCCCTTAATACCAATTGAGCAACATTTCCATGCCCCAAATAACTCAGGCTGTTCTGGAGGCAAAGGGGGGTCCGACCCAGTACTAATTAACTGGCCACTGAGTGTACAGTACATTGTTTAGAGATTTATACCTAGGGTGAACTAATCACCTGTCTTTGTAGGTAAAGTAACATAAGGTGAAAAGTACAGAAACTGATCCATCATTTTAGTGTGTGTCTCTCTCTCCTCCCTCCACCTCACCATTCTCCTCTTCCCCAGTATGGAGGGCTCTATAGTGTGTCTGCCTGAGGTGATAGCCCTGAAGAAGCGTTATAAGGCCTATCTGTACCTGGATGAGGCCCACAGCGTCGGAGCTCTCGGACCACGCGGTGGAGGGGTGGTGGACTACTTTGGTCTGGACCCCAAAGACGTGGACATCATGATGGGAACGTTCACTAAGAGCTTTGGTGCTGCTGGTGGATACATCGGAGGGAAGAGGGTGAGATGGCTGTCTGCTCTAAAGCAACCTTGATTTCCTGCTTTCTTCACACATACCCATTCCAGTAACCGAGTGAATACGAGATGGAGAAGTATGGCAACGTGTGACTCTCTCCAAAGGATCACGGGTTAGGAGAAATGTTCTTGGCAGGGTGCCAAGGTGCCCAAAGCTATGTTCAGGGCAGTAAATGTGCTAAAACATTCCATTACAACAAAGCTAGGTGTGTATAGATAACAGGCACTGACATGGGACAACCATATTTATAGTGACTGGAAGCCTTTATGATTTCTGGGATGGTTTCTGATACAGTTTACTGGGACAGTTTAGGTGTGGTGGTTTAGTCATCAACAAGACAAACTGGTTTTACCATTGCCCCATGATGTGGGAAATTCTCTAAGGGCTGAATCCTACCTTGAGATCTGTTAGAGTAACTCAGATTGTCACATAAATCATGCTTTCACATCAATAGGAGACTTGTACGGAAATTTGAGATGTGCACCATCTCAAGTTCGACTTTATGTAGTATTATCGTAACTATAAAACCCATTCATAAAGACAATGGTGTTTTGTTTCTCTCCCCCATAGGAGTTGATAGACTACCTGCGGTCCCACTCCCACAGTTCTATCTACGCCACGTCCATGTCCCCTCCCGTGTCACAACAGATCATCACTTCTATGAAGATCATCATGGGAGAGGACAACACCACTCTGGGTGAGTTTACACAGCAAGCCTCCACTTCAGCTGGGACCACACTGTGTTGTTGAATGAGAACTAGTTAGTATCTGGTAAGTAGTTATTTTCATCCCTGGTCCTGGAGAGCTACAAGGTGTTATAAACTGGGTAGGTCGAGTCCTGAATGCTGATTGGCTGACAGCCGTGGTTTATCAGACCGTATACCACGGGTATGACAAAACACATATTTTTATTATAGGCTTGTGTTCTTGCCTGGCACTGAAAAACATGATTCAATCATCAATATTTAATCATCAAGAGCTTGATTTGTTGAATCTAGGCCAAGGGGTTGATGACTGCTGGACAGTACAAAAGGTATTTTCCTTGCATTAGGCAGTACCTGTCACCACACTTTGTCATTACCATCAGTAGCCACAAGATGGCTGTATAGACCTGGAAAGCTAAGGAGCTGTTTTGCCAGCTGTTGAGTTGACATAAACCCTGCTGCTTGGTTAATCTTGTCATGTGAATTCATTGCCCTCTCCAACAGATGACAGCTCAGAGGTGGGAGCTTAATGTCATGTAGGGTTTGTATAGATTTTCCTAACCAGCTTTGAACTGGTCTGATCTGTACTTTGACTCAGGGAGTGGCAGGGTATAGTACCTTGGCAATCACTCACCCACAGCCAAGTGATAAAGGCTATATAATACATTTCTAACTGGCTAACAGAGAAAGGTAAACAAAGGAGAGTCTGGATAATAAGAATTCTAGAATACTAGAATGGCACATATAGTTGCCATTGCACTATTCCCCTTTTTACTCCCCCGACAGACGCACACAGACAACCACACAGCCTTATTGGTGACTAAAGGTAAAGTGGCCGATGTTGAAAGAGTCCATTTCCTGTTCAATAACAGTAATTTCCTTTTCCTGTTTCTGCTTCTTATGTTTCATTCACTGGGCTTCTGATGGGTTAAAGTGGAACTGACAGCGTTTTAACTACTTTGCATATATGAAATAAACAGAGAATCATAATATGAATTTATGTATTTCAGTCCTTGACTAATAATGTTCTGTACTATGTATTGTTTCATGTGGACCCCAGGAAGAGTAGCTGATGCTTTTGCAGCGGCTAATAGGGATCTTAATAAATACAGTCAAAAATATCAAATTCCCAGTTTATGCTTCAAAACCCACTTTATAAGAGGTTTTAAAAATAGGTTCTATTTGACTCAACATTCCATGACGTACAGTAAGGCATTGTTGGCAGAATAGATGGATGCAGTTCAATGCATGATTTAATATAATTAACCAATACATTTCTTGGTAGTCCACAAAATATTGCTGTCAGGTTGTAAATCACAGCTGGCCTGGTACATTGTTTGCTGCCGCCACCCACTCGGGATTCACTGTTTGTTTCAATGACTTAATATTTTGAAAAAAAATGGACGACTGTAACTACATTTACATTTACATTTTAGTCATTTAGCAGACGCTCTTAACCAGAGCGACTTACAGGAGCAACTAAGGCTGGGAATGTCAATAGAATCAAACTAGCAAGGGCAATGGTCACAAGTCAGTCATAATGTGGCTAATAGGGTAGCGCACGTGTCAAACACAAGGCCCGCAGGCCGAATAGCACACAAGCGAGTAGAAATGAGTCAATAGTTGAGTCATCTACTTTTCGCATTGGTGAATTCAACTTCAATTTCGCTGCTTTTGTTTGTCCCATTTCCAGCGCGCAGCGGAGGGAAAGGGTACAGACACAGGCCACAGTCCTAGTTAGGCTACTAAAATATTGCTGTCTGGCTTCGGTTTTAAAAGCTTGCAATGAATAACCAAAAAACAAAACCTGCAACAAAACACCATGCAAAGTGAAACATGTAGGCCTATGAACCCTGGTCATCCCTACTGCCTCTGATCTCACTAAACACATGCTTTGTTTGTAAATTATGTCTGACTGTTGGATTTATTTTATTTTATTTTTGTTATCTGGTTTGCTTAATATAAGGAATTTGAAATGATTTATACTTGTACTTTTACTTTTGATACTTCAGTATATTTTAGCAATTACATTTACTTTTGATACTTAAGTATATTTAAAACCAAATACCTTTTGACTTTTACTCAAGTAGGATTTTACTGGGTGACTTTTACTTGAGTCATTTTGTATTAAGATATCTTTACTTTTATTCAAGTATGACAATTGGATACTTTTTCCACCACTGAATAATAGTGTATTTTTTTAATTCTCTAAACGTTCTTTAATCCCTTACACTCGTGGGAATTGGCCTATACGGATAGAGCTATATTTGTATGTTTCTTACAGAAGAAATATGGAAAGCATATGCATAACCATGGTAGCAATTAAAAGGGAACAGTTTGGAGATCTTGGGAAAATTATTATAATAATAATATGCCATTTAGCAGACGCTTTAATCCAAAGCGATTTACAGTCATGTGTGCATACATTTTTACGTATGGGTGGTCCCGGGGATCGAACCCACTACCCTGGTGTTACAAGCACCATTCTCTACCAATTGAGCTACAGAGGACACAACTAAACTAAAGGTGAGGACACAACAGTTCACCTGACACAAGACTGAATCCAAACATTACACTATTGATTTTATATGCATTTTGCATTTAAATCAAATCAAATATGCCACATTTGATAACGAAATCTGAAAATACTGAAGATGCATTCAGTAACATGATACGAATATTCTTGGAGAACACAAGGCAAAAGAAATAACAAGGGTTTGAGTGAGAGGTCTAACTGGTGTTTCCAAGTGGCCACACACCTCCAAAGTGTGCACAGTTCCTAAGTAATTTCAATGCACTTTTATGACTCAAAGAAGAGTTTTTAACAATAAGGTGTTTTTTTTTTTTTTACCTCTCCTAGCTGTGCCGTTGAGGAACTAGAGCAAGCACACTTGTAGTTTTGTTTGGAACACAGCCCTGCATCCCCGCCTTTACACAATTACTGTTGTTTTTTACGCAATCCAAGAACGGTCCATTATAATTTGCAGTCTGGGTATAATCTGAAAGCTTGTTTACATTTTAGTTATTTAGCAGACGCTCTTATCCAGAGCGACTTACATTATACATAATTGTTTTATTTTTCATACTGGTCCCCCCGTGGGAATCAAACCCACAACCCTGGCGTTGCAAACGCCATGCTCTACCATCTGAGCTACATCCCTGCCGGCCATTCCCTCCCCTACCCTGGACGACGCTTGGCCAATTGTGCGCCGCCTCATGGGTCTCCCGGTCACGGCCGGCTACGACAGAGCCTGGATTCGAACCAGGATCTCTAGTGGCACAGCTAGCACTGCGATGCAGTGCCTTAGACCACTGCGCCACTCTATTGCCAACATGACTAGCTACATTGTATTTGAAAATCTTAGTGTTAGGCTTTCACAAGGCAATTCAGAGAAGTAAATTGTATACTGAACAAAAATATATACACAACATGCAACTATTTCAAAGATTTTACTGAGTTACAGTTCAGGAACTCAGTCAATTGTAATAAATTCATTAGGCCCTAATCTATGTATTTTACATGACTGGGCAAGGGTGCAGCCATGTGTGGGCCAGGGAGTGCATAGGCTCACCCACTTGGGAGCCAGGCCCACCCACTCAAAATGAGTTTTTCCCCACAAAAGAGCTTTATTACAGACATAAATACTACTCAGCTCCCCCTCAGAAGATCCCACAGGTGAAGAAGCCGGATGTGGAGGTCCTGGGCTGGCATGGTTACATGTGGTCTGTGGTTGTGAGGCTGGTTGGACGTACTGCCAAATTCTCTACAACGACGTTGGATGCGGCTTATAGTAGAAAAATGAATACTAAATTCTCTGGCAAAACAGCTCTGGTGGACATTCCTGCAGTCAACATGCCAATTGCACGCTCCTCAAATTGACATCTGTGGTATTGTGTTATTTGACAAAACTGCACATTTTAGGGTGGCCTTTTATTGTCCCCAGCGCAAGGTGCACCTGTGTAATGATCATGCCGTTTAATCAGCTTCTTGATATGCCACACCTGTCAGGTGGATAGATTATCTTGGCAAAGGAGAAATGCTCACTAACAGGGATGTAAACAGATTTGTGCTCCAAATTTGAGATAAATAAGCTTTATGTGCATATTAAACATTTCTGTGATCTTTTATTTCAGCTCATGAAACATGGGACCAACACTTTACATGTTGCGTTTATAATTTTGTTCAGTATAATTTTGGTGTGCATAGAATAGAGGCATGAGTGCATTCAGATGTGTGTTCCGCTGCAAATTTTCTTCACAATACAATAAACAGATGAATTCTGTTCAGGACAACTGTCAACACAACCCAGGGTATAATGCCATGTCATCTTGTAACTGGACATCAAACATAGTGATCATAAACTTTGACACTGTATATGATATGAGTTTTATGATATGGAAATGTGAAGTGCACATTTGGACTCATGGGTCTTTGGCTTGCTTGTATGACATCCAAGCAGTATTTATTATAATCCTCAACAGCTCATCTTTCAAAATGCTGTACATAGAGTCCTCTTAATTTACAGAATTACCCTCAATCAGACAACAAAACATTAGCAAAAGTTGCCCTATTAGGGGTAGGGATGAGGGCAACGTCTTGTCGCGTGCTGGGCTCAAGTTCAGAATGTCTGTCAGTCAAAACCCATACAGCGCTGTGAAGCGGAGACCCTGAGATCTGACGTCATGTATAGCATGTTACTGTGCAGCCACTGCGTTCCAATTTAGGCGCTTATCAGTGCCCAAATCTGTCATTTTCAACCCGTATACAGGTACCAGTGTAAAGGGCTACGACCACCAACTATCACTCAAAAACTAAAGGCAATGCATGTTAAATGGTGTGGAATTGAGGAGATCAACTGTGTTGACAGTCACTCCTACACACACAGCGGAGCATATCCCCCTCTCAGTAGCACCAGGCTGGGTTAAAACCTCCAGACAGTCTCCTGCATCCCTCAGAGGGCTCTGGGTGATTGAAGCCTGTGAAGTGGTAGCATGGACTTTCTCCACATAGGGATTTTATAGCTTTCAGATGTCTGTGTGTGTTGGAGATCCATAGTGTCTGTGCAGAAGTGTGTCTCTTTGGTGCACATTCTAGCTGGGTGCAAAGCGGCCTGCCACTGGGGGTTAGAGTTCTAGGTGGCTCCCCTGACCTTCAGGGCTTCAGAGAACGAGCTGTGGTAAAACATGTTTTCATCCCCCAATGGGTAATGTTGGGTTGGGCTATAGAGTAATCTGATCCTAGATCTGTGGTTAAGCGCAACTTCTACCTTGGTGGGAGACGGAAGGAACCGTCCTGTTAGAGTAATGACCCTGGAGTGATCCGGACCCTCGCTGGGCTATTTACATTTACGTCATTTAGCAGACGCTCTTATCCAGAGCAACTTACAGGAGCAATTAGGGTTAAGTGCCTTGCTCAAGGGGACATCGGCAGATTTTTCACCTAGTCGGCTCAGGGATTAGAACCAGCGACCTTTCGGTTACTGGCACAACGCTCTTAACCACTAAGCTACCTGCCGCCTGCTATGTGTGCGTGAATCTATCTCACCCGGTATCAGTGGATAGGGACAAGTCCCTCCCAGGTGGGCCACAGTACAGCAATGTTGTATTCATTAGGGCATGCAATGGTAAATGTTTTGCAATGGAAAATGTATGTTTCTTATTGGATCATGTCCAAGTAGGCCCTCAGTTTGTTCATTAACTTCTGTTTGGTCCTCAATTAATATGAGCCTGATCTAGCAGCTATGTTCAAGCCATCACAATGCTCCGGACCATTCTCTGACAAACACATGGAAATGGCTGATCTCACGGTCTTGTCTAAATCACTTGACAGTTTTCTCAGGAAAGAGTAACATTGGCAGTTCGCTGGTTCCCAGCTCCATGTGGGTTTGAGATTCAAGCCTTTGAAGTGTAGTCACTGCCATAGCTGCATAACTAGTAGTGGCATCGAGGCTGCTAACGTTTTGGCTATTGTGTCATGTGCCAGAATGACTGACTGGGGTTCGAAGCTTGGTGAGTTAATGAGTCTGGAGTGTCTCAGGCAAGGTTACTCTTCGTATGAGTGTGGTTCAGTGAACCACCTCCATTACACAATCAGAATGAATTTCTCTAGTTTGAAGCTCAAATCAAATATGTGGATGAGACGGGGGACAGACGGGACATTCCTACCAGGGAGCCCCTCCAATATGAAAGGAATGTCAAACAAGTGGAAAGCAATTCCTTCTCCTGAAAACATCAGCCTATACGTTTATCATTCTACAGTTCTCTCAGAATGGCTTTGAATTCCATGCCAGGGCCCAGGGGGGAAAAACTGTCTGTGTGAAAGGAATTTAATTTCAGACTTGTTGAGTTTGGAATGCTTTACGTTTGCAGCTCTGTGTTTCAAAATGAAATGGCAGATGCTGTTTTTTGGGTTTGAGCACCTAGATGTATCCATTCCTTCCAGTCAACAAGGAAGTTAGGCCAAAGGCCTAAGGTAGTGGGCTGAAATAGTGTGTAAGTGCAGCAGTCCTTTTAATTGTTGTGGTTTACCTGTTAATGTTTTGACTGGTTAATGGTTGTAATCACTAATGGTTTAACAGGTTAATAGATTAATTAGCTAATTGTTTAATTGGTTGTTCATGTTTCCAGGGGCGGAGCGTCTGAGGCAGTTGTCAGAAAATACCACATACTTCAGAAGGAAACTCAGAGAGATGGGATTCATCATCTACGGAAACGATGACTCTCCTGTCGTACCCATGATGCTCTACATGCCAGCCAAAATAGGGTAGGTCTGGTAACCGCAAGTTCGTGATGTTTACAAAAACACAAACCTCAACTAAGATGGAGTAGGTTTGATCAGTCAGCCAAGTCACACATCTTGGTCAACTAACACAGTTTTAGAGTAAATACCACAGTGAACATGATCAGATTGTTTCTGTTATATTCACACGATCAACATGACATTGCTCAGTCAGCCAGCCATAGAATAAGCAGATTGTTCACACATTGGTCACATGGTCTATAATCCTGATCTCTGATTGGTTCTCTCTCAGGGCGTTTGGCAGGGAGATGCTAAAGAGGAACATTGGGACGGTGGTGGTTGGCTTCCCGGCCACACCCATCATCGAGTCCAGGGCCAGGTTCTGTGTGTCTGCCGCACACACCAGGGACATGCTGGACACTGTGAGTCACCTATCAGAGATGCACACACACACACACACACACACACAAACACACAAGACATGCTTGATACAGTGAGTCAAGTAATCACAGACCAGAGTCAAAGGACTCCTCCCTCTCTCCATGGCGCCATCTCTATCTGCCTCTCGCTGGTACTTTTTCAAAAGTGTAGCATTCTTTTAACAGTCTGTCTCACTCAATAGGATTTGTGTTCAGCACTATTCAGCACAACTCTCTTTTATCTTAGTATAGGATGAAAGGAGGAGGAAGGAGACTAGGTGAGGACGCTGCATTTGAGTATTGAGAAGTACCCCAAGTTTCTATGTGGTCCTAGAATTGGGTCCAGTCCAATTGATGGGAATGGTTATGGTTAGTTACAATAATTGGTCAATTGTTAGAATGTATGGTGAAGACTTTATTTTTCCCTTGAGACATCACCATCGTCCTTTGATAGTTGATGGAATCCCTCCACATCTCTTCCTCAAAGTAGTTACATTGACTGACTGACTGTCTCCCAGCAGTGAGTCAGTCAAGCCTGGCTTTAACTGTCAGGGTTGATGTGCTGCAGGTGTGGAGGACAGGAAATGCATTTCAAAATGTGCTTTATTCGAGGGGGGTGAGAGAACACCTGTGTTCAGCAAGTGTTTGTTTTCTTTCAAATGCTTAAGCCTTGCCCGCCTGGCGCAACGGAACCAACAAAATCATCCCATAAGTGCCAACCCCACCCATCTGGCAGGCTCAATCATGCGTTCAAAGTATTTGGAAGAACACAAATACTATTTGAACCCTGGTGTGGGAGTGACTTGGAAGAAAGACAGCACAGTGCCATAACTGTGGTGGCGCAGCGAGCTCAGACTTAGTTTTATTTTGGCATGCGTGTTGTCTGTCCAAGGACAGTCCATTTATCTTTTTGAAGAGTGTGTCAACACCGTTTTTAATAGTCCATTTAAAGCACATCAGGTTCACTTTGTTAAAATGCATGAAGCCACTTTTTCTTCTTTGGAAAACTCGTCTCTCTCTTTACTCAAAGTTCAGAGAAGGTGTGGGGAAAAAAAGAGAAAATCAAGGAAAGTAAATTGTTTCCAGGTGTGTTGCGGACCGATGGTATCGCAACACAGAAAGTCTCCTGTGGAAAGTGTTATAGGCCTAGTTTTTCTGCTCAGTTGTGTTCTAGTTTTACGCAAGTAGACCCTATTTTTCTTCACTAACAATTTGGTCAGGTGAATTTCACGGTTCAGCAACCCTCACAATGGTGTAAGAAGCCCACCTCTCCCCCTTCAATCTCTAGGATCAGCAGGAATTACTCATGGTTCTAATGCTCACAATATGCTGCTGTTGTGTATGTACTCAACTCTCCCCTCGTTCCTCAGTAAAGAATCCCACTTCTGACACCAAATGTAGTAAACATAATGTCTTCTGTTGTTGTTATATCCTCTCCTCTCCTCCCCCAGGCATTGGAGGCCATCAGTGAGGTTGGGGATGTGTTGCAGCTGAAGTACTCCAGACACCAGAGACATCATGATTTCCCCTCCTCCCTGGGTCCATAGTCCTCTGAGGAGAGTCTGCTCCTGGAGCCCAGCCACGTCAAGCCTTCTTGTCATATAACTAACTGAACCAGCTACACCAGGGATACTTACACGTTTGTTTGTTTTTGCACTTACCTGGTGCACCGGCTCTAAATCAGTCCCTGACTAAAGAATGAAAATTAGAAGTGGAACTCAGTGAATTTGAGGATGTCTGACCTACACTACAGTGGGGCATGGATAGAAAGTAACCAAGGTCTTATCATCTGTTTTCGTTTCGATAGTGTGTTAGCCCCTATGGTTGTCTTACTGTATCTTCATTTTTTTGTGTTGGACCTAAATGTTGAATCTTATTTCTGTGTGCACACTGCATAATGGGGGCTTCTAGTGCAATAATAACAAGATGGGAGGAAGAAATCAATAGAACTAGACATGGATTTACGTTGCCATTAAAATATACAATTTGTTTGGTTATACCAATGGAGATAATGGATCAGAGAAATTGAATCCCTAGAACAGGGATCTACATTTGTTCTATGGATTCTGTTTCTATGGGTTGGATAATAGCAGAAGTTTTAATGCAAGAAAGACGTAAATAGATAATATATATCATTCATGACTTTAGTAGAGCACTGGCTATATGGTTAATATACCCATATATAGGCTTCATATCAAATGAGGTACATCATCAAGTGTAGCTTATTTTATATTGAAGTTTCCACTCTAATCAGTGTGTTATACTTTAATATTGTCACTGGGTTCTTTCCCTAACCAATGTTTATATTATCTGCTTTTACACAGTAAATGAACAGGTAAAATCTCAACGTCTTTGACCTATTATCATAGCTAGTCACCAAAGGAAGTGATACTTTCCATGAGAACTTCTATCTCTCTCTCGTAAGCTACATATTACACCTGTTCAGAAAAGATAAGTTTAGATAAATAGAAGAATATGGTAAGAACCCTTTTGAAGAGCTGACATTAATATTAGTTATATATTGCAGCTTATTTTCTATCATTCTTTAATATTTAGTGTTGTTTATGCCTGCACTCGATTAACTTGAGCCCAAATGTCTTTAAACATTTCTATACGCTCTAGAGTATTTAACATATCTATCGCTGAATAAGTCTTTCATATTTCTATAGCTTGATAAGAGCCATGTCGTGTGAAGTGTCTCTCTTAGGGTCGGATTCCCGGACACAGATTTAGGCTAGTCCTGGACTGAAAAACGATTTCAATGTAGATTCTTGGCTTAATCTGTGTCCGGGAAACTGACCCTTACTGAAGAGCGACGTGATATGAGTCTCTAACTGTATATCTTCTAAGTGCTTATTATATTAATAACCAGTGTTGTCGTCTTACTCTGGCCATAATGTGACCTACCTGTTTATCTGTATGTATGAAGATGCTGCATCCTAACCATGCTTCTCTGATGTACAGATATGTCCTTATTTGGTAACACTTCCTATTGATACCCTCTTCACAGTGCAAAATAAGTGCATTTATAGTGCCTTATGAGCTATATATAATGCACAACATAGTTTTAATACAGGAAGTGTTACGCCTTTATTTATTACAAATGTCTTATAGTTTTTCAATTTGCTCTATTTTGTGGTAGAGGTTTCTAATATAATATATCTGTGGCAGCTCTAATTATGTTCTACACTCTTCGGGGAGGGGTATGGGTTACCTAGAACCGTTAAAGGTTATTTGGTAGTCTCTGTGTAATCCTTTTTTGGTTCCAGGTAGAACCCATTTTGGTTCCAGGTAGCCCATTTCACCAAAATATTATTTTGAGGGTTCTTTGTTGGGTGAAAGAGTTCTGCCTGGAAGCAAAACGGTTCTCCTACAGGGACAGCAGAATAACCCTTTAGGAACACTTTTGATGGAATATGTGTGTCTTAATAACAAACAGACCACATCTTCAGTGCTAGTACTACTGACAGGCATTGGAAATGCACAGATGATGTAGCCTCACTGAAATGACAGGCTGGCTAACTAACGCTTGGTTAAAAGGAAGCATATTTTGCCGCCGACTGTCTCTCACAATTATTCTTCTTATCTAATATAATATTCCAGAATTGGCTGATTTGTTTTGGCTTCTATATTTGTTTTGATTTTAGTTTGTTTTGTTTAAATGTTATGTTTGACTTTCCATGGCTCAGTTTATGGGTCAGTTCAAGTATAATATTGTCATTTGTCAAATATCCAGTTTGTAGTGTGAGTGTACATTTGCATTGGAAGTAGAAATGTGTGGAAGAGAGCTGCAGTTAGCACTGTGATCGTTAGACCACTACAAACTCCTTATTAAACTATGGCTGACATTTAAAGTGTCTATAATTTGTCCAGACGTAAAATGTTAAACTTGCTATTTTTATATTGTATTTCATTAAAGCTGGGTGGGCCCATGTAGAGTCTGTCTTCATCCCAAATGGCATCTTATTCCCTATAGTGCACTACACTTGACCAGAGCCCAAGTCAAAATGGTGCACTATATAGGGAATAGGGCGCTATTTGGGATCACCCTCTGTATCCTGTTCCGATCTCCTTTCTATTGAGGCATGATGTGATTGCTGACATCCAGTAACATGACCATTTATCTCAGGAAGGCTGTTTAGATTTCAATAATGCTAAAAACAGATGTAATTAATCATTATCTGACTTAAAGTAAATGTGTTTTTAAAATGAAAAGATTTCAAAGCCCTTTGATGTGACATTACATTGTTTAACTTGCCATGGGAAGAGATATGTGATCTGACCTACTCTGTAACTGCATATACACCTGTATGTTATCAGTAGGCTTTTAACCTTGGCAAGTTCAATGTTTGAAGATAGTTTGGGTTGGAAGATAAACCACTTGATGAGGTTTTTGAAGCCATGGTGTGTGTTGACTGTGCTGTTGGAAATGGTGTTAAGATTAAATCAGTCTTTGTTTGTATCAAGCTCTTGGTTAGATTTGTCTTCTACAAAGGTCTATATACACACACACACACACACACACACACACAATGTGTAACATAATCTATCGGAAAGTCTTTACAGAATGAATACCACTAAATGACTTACAAATTGTTTGTATCTTAAAGAAAACATCTGATTTATTCTGTTTATTTAAAAGTACACAGCGCAGAGCAATAGGGTGGATGCACAACACACAAAAGCCAAACTATGAGATGTACAAACTATGGGATAAGTGGATAAGAGGCATTCCGTAATTTCGATTATGACATTAATGAGCGAGCTAGAACGGACGTAGTCAATAACTATTTGTTCAGCACTTTTGAAATGTACAGCGACAGAATTCAGAACATGGGCCGTTCTTACAGTATTCTCCATGTACACCAAGTCAGAACCATAGGATAAATAAAGGGGGCATATAAGTAGACAATGAAAGCTCTTACAGTATTCAATTATGACATTTCTCTAAAACAGGCTATGGGCTACATGTGCACCATCAAGTCAGAACAGTAGGCTAAGTTATGAGGGGGAAAGGGACCAAATTATTAGGGTGAGGCACATGGGCTAACAGCTTACTACACAACATACACTTAGAATTACTTTCTTGGCTACAGTATACATATCTCCCTGGCATATTACATAATTTATGCAGCAGCATACAATACATTTTTTGACTCACTTTGTTGGGAAGGTGGCGCGTCGGTCCTTCTTGTGGGCTCTAGAAAGAGGCCCGATCTTCCCGACTTGGAATTCCGAGTTGGATGACCGTTCAAAATTATTTTCCGTATTTTTCCAGTCGGAGCTAGTTCCCAGTTGTCTTGAACTACCTGATGTCTGATATTTCCCAGTTCAGAGTTTCCAGTTGTTTTGAACACAGCAGAAGTCATGCTGGATTGACAGCATGGCCAATGTATTCAAACTTTTCTGGCCCATGGCATTACCCCCTTTTACGTGATATCCAATTGGTAGTTACGATCTTGTCTCATCGCTGCAACTCCCCTACGGACTCGGCGAAGGTCGAGAGCCAAGCCACCCCGCTTCTTGACACACTGCTCGCTTAACCCGGAAGCCAGCCGCACCAATGTGCCGGAGGAAACACTCGACCTGACGACCGAGGTCAGCTTGCAGGAGCCCGGCCTTCCTCAAGGAGTCGCTAGAGCACGATGAGACAAGAACATCCCGGCCGGCCAAACCCTCCCCTAACCTGGACGACGCTGGGCCAATTGTGCGCCGTCCCATGGGTCTCCCGGTCACAGCTTGCTGTGACACAGCCTGGGATCGAACCCGGGGCTGCAGTGGCACCTTAGCACTCATTATTGAATTTGCGATTTCCAACTTGTTGTGTAATGTTTATGTCCAATGGACGATGAGCACCGATATGTTTTATCTATAATTTATCGTCAAATGACAAGGATTGAAAAGGATTTGCCAGTAGATTGTCTAATTGATTCATGATGATGACTGCTAGCTTGCTAGCTAAGAGTTTTAAAGTATGATGTTGACATGATCAGTCCAATTAAAGCTACTGTAGATATAACGTGATTTAACGTCATTTTATCTGTGGCCAATGACCTTGAGCCTTCTTGGATTGGCACTTCAAATGTAACGTCTATGGCAGCACCCAAGGGGCTTGAATTTTCAAGCTCTACCCGTAGATTTTGCGATGACATAGTGTCCAAGTGAGTGACAGAACACTGAGTCATGGCGCAACTAGAGAACATTATCAATCCCTACGCTCTGTATTTTCCACTGGCTGCCCCACCACCACAGAAAGCACTGAGCTAGGCTGTAACACCTGCATTTTGGAGCTGCCTTACTCAAGAAAGCAAAAAAGAGACCATGTTTGTATGCAGCTTTATTAATAATATAATATGCCATTTAGCAGAGGCTTTTATCCAAAGCAACTTACAGTCATGTGCGCATACATTTTTACATATGGGTGGTCCCGGGGATCGAACCCACTACCCTGGCGTTACAAGCACCATGCTCTACCAATCGAGCAACAGAGGGCCACATTAACTCAATGTTTTTTTGTTTTTTACATTGTTTGCGAACTGATATGTGACATGTATTAATGCCAAAACAATAACATGCAAAATGACGCATCGCCACTGACACACACCATCTTTTTATATGGAGGAGAGTAGTGTGAAAGTATGCCTATCCTCAGCTGTTGTCAGCGCCTTGGCTCGGAGCACTGTTTTCTTGACGTGTGACACCTAATGTGCCTAATGAATGTGTTGGCTGCCTAGTAATCCATTTAATACAGTCTACAAAGTCACTTGTCTCCTCTTCCATTACTCGCGTGCCAATTATCAGCCGTTTCTGTGTCACGGTCACATCTCCAAATGGCTTTCTCCCTCTCTATTTGGGTAACTAAATCCGCGAGACACCACCTTTTGAGTCGTAAGCATCCCTCCTCTCTTCAACAGTGTAGAAGCTGTGAAGACGTGCGTATCCAAACCAGTGTGATTTAGACACTGATCGATCTGGACAAACCTGCGTTGTGGATAAGGGACTTACTTCAATTGGATAATGGATTAACGCGTCAGAGATAAAACGCAAACAGGCTATTCTCAACTCCAGATTTCAATGTATTGGAAGAAAACACCCACCAACCCACCCATCCATAAGGAAATGTACCCAACTCTTTTAACCTAGTTGAATAAACCGTTCACCGGTGCGCACTGAGAGAGTGCGTGGGTATCTGTGTGTCTTTTGTACTTATAGCCAAAGTTGGTCTGGTTATATGGGGAGGCTTGAAGAGCGCTAGACATTGACCTAGACGCGCCATACAGGCAGGCAGACAGTGAAAGGAGAAATCAGTCGCTTTGAGATTCGGAGTGGTCAGAGTTGCGTCGAAGTGCGGCAGAGGGATATGGATTGTGCGTCGGATGCCATCGGACATTAGTGCGCATCTCTATCAAGAGGAAGACTGTGAAGCTGTTGATGCTGGTTGAATAGGTGACTTGCTCGGAAGGAAACAAATTCTGGAAAAGAAGAAGCGCTGATGAGGACAGAAAACAACGTTTATCTCGCTAAGTAAAGAATATACAAGATAGGAATAAATTGGATAGATTGGGGACTTCAAATTACTTGTTAGTTGTCACTTAAATGGAGAAAATGATTCAAGTCGGAGGGAGATGTCTGACAATATTGATGATCTTTTTAGTACTTTTTGTTGGCTTGGTGATGGGCTTTCCCACCAAACAGCACAATAAACTGCATAACAGCGTGTCTTTGGAGGTAAGCAACTTTTTTCTTGATTATTTTACAATATAATATATATAATATATTATAATATAATAATTCTACAAGATTTTACCAATTCCGTCCGTTGCGTTCCAAATATAACAATATTTAAATATGATACAAGTTGTATTTAAATTAATTGAGCATATGTACATTATTTAATATATAATTATTACAATATTTTAATATCTTACAAAAACATGTTTACATGTAAATTACTGTATGAGTTCTCTTGATGCCATCATGCCAATTATTTCTACAAATCAAATTAAATGTGATAACTTAATTAGTTTCCAGAAAATAACTACTGCTCTCCTGCCAAAAACATTCTGCATTATCATTCATATCATTCAAAACTTGATAGCAAACCCCAATCAAGGCATCTCATACAGACTCACAATGCTGTGCACCCACAGCAGACTGTCATTGCCCGTTCCCTGTCCATGAACCAAAGGAAACTTGTATCAATAAATCTCTAGGGGTTTGGGGTAAAGTGTTATTCTGTGTTTCTTCATGTATAGTAAATTATCTGGGCATCCAGAGAAGGTCAGCCTGAGCTAAGCAGCATAGCATTACACAGCAGCTACAATACATTCACAGGCTGTATCCCCTTTCTGTAACCGGATCCAATGGGGGTATTTGTGCGGCTCATGTACATGTGCGTGTGTATAGGGGGCTTGAGGGTCACCATGAACAGAATCAGATGTAAGAATGAAAGAAAGTTGCAAACAGACAGATTCCAGATCTGTGTTATGAAGTCGTTCCTTTGTACTTTATCTCCCCTGGGTCTCCTCCAATGGATGCCCTATTGATGTCCTGATGCCCATAGCCTATAACTGATGGTTGATTTATGTCAGTTGGACGTAAAACAGCTAGGGAGAGAGAATCTGAGAGGGAGGGAGTGAGAGACAGAGAAGGAGACAAAGAGAGAGGGAGTGTGACTGGCGGTGCTGAATGTGCGTTTTGGGTACCAGCGAGTGTGACCCTGTGCCACCATGGTGACTGTGCACCTTTCTTGGTGACCTGTTAGATGCCAGTGCAACCAGATAAAAGGAACCATCAGCAGCTCTCTCTCACACTGGAATAAGGTCAGAGGTCAGGCTGGTTGATTGTTTACTTTGGCTCTTTACTGAGTTAATGTGGAATTTCCTGTTTTTGGTTTCCCCCTTATCATGGGGGGTGGAGGAGGGGTGTGAAGTGTGCGTGGCCTCATTCCCAAATATTGAGACCTATTTGCTCTATTTATCTGTTCAGTTTTCTCCCCCATCCTCTCCTTTCCTCTCTCCCTCTTTCAAGTGCTTGCACTTGTTTTTTATTTTCTATTTTCCACATTTTCCAAGAGGCGATCAAAGGGCCCCATAGTTTATTGTTCTTCTGTAATGGTTTGAAAATGGCCAAGTGCAGAGGCCTTTGATATCTGTGGACACATAAATCAGCACTGCCTGCCACACCACCCGCCCTCCTCCCTGCCCTGCCTGTGTTCCTGTCCTCTGCTTCATCATCCATACAGTACTGTACATCCACCTCCCCTCATTTCCTCTTCTGTCCCTGCTGAATGTGTGCCACCACCGACTGCCAGGCCGGCCAGGCTAAATGGCTCCAGTGTCCCCCAGCCACCCCCTACAAAGGACACAAAGTTTTGTTTCATGATGGAAGAGGAATTGAATGTTAATGCTTTTGTTGTGTGTCGGAAAGGCCAGGACTCCCACTGCTGTACATCCATAGTGGCTCGTAAAGACAGACCACATACCATCAACCAAAAAGCCTTTGATCATCAGGGGAGCCCCTCTCCAGAGACAGAGAAGGAGAGAGTAGGATCAGAGAGAAAGAGGAGGAGGGAGAGAGGAGGAGGAGACTGAATACAGAATCCAGATGTGTAAAAAAGACAAGATGAGGAAGGTGTGAAAATATGTGGCCCTTCATGACTCCAATCTTAAAGTCTTGTCGGTGTGTGTGTGTGTTTGTGTGTGTGTGTGTCAGGAGTATCTTATACGAGCTCCTTTTCCTAGATCTAACTTCTGACAATACTTCTCTAGTCAGACCATGATACAAGTGGTAGAAACCATGTAATGAAGATCTTTTAATGCTAAGCCTCAGAGGGACCTGACTAGGCCCAAGGGGAAGCCTTCACAATCCCCCTCTGACTCTCTCCTCCTCAGTATCCTCTATTTACTCTTTATCATTCCTCTTTCTCTCTCCCCGTCTTCCTGTCTCGTCCTCATGCTGTTTGACAGGGGTTGCCTCTAAATGGTGACCATATGTTCTCATGGTTGGATCTGATGGACTTTTTTATGGGACAATTGCAGCCACTGAAAAAGTATGGTCTGTTTTCGGCCCCATAACCACAATTGCTCAACCGTTTTGTCACCGCTCCAGACTTTTTTCCCCCTCATTGTTTTAAATGGCACCACATTTTCGACCGCAAACTGGCACGGCTCCAGTCACTGAGGCCCCATCAGATGTTTGGGCTATTTATTTATAGATGCTGGCTGAATTAAAAGCTTAGAGTAGTAGAAGTTACTCTTAGGCACTGATCTAGGATCAGCTCACCCTCCCTAAATTCTAACTTTAACTATTAGAGTGGAGAATAGGCAAACTGATCTTAGATCAGAATTAGGGGCAACTTCATCCTCCTCCCTAGTTAAAAGAAGGATGAGCTTCGATTTAGAAAAAGACATTGACAGGTGTCTGATGGTTGGAATCTGACTGAGGATGACCCCTACAGCTTGTGTCTGTGTATAGCGGGTAGCTGTGTGGTGGCACGGCACAGCACGGCACGGCACGGCAGGTTGAGACACACATAGGGTCAGGGCCAGCCTGCCCACCGTCCCAGGGGTCCCACGACTCTGAGGCCCTCTCATTAAAACTAGAGTATCTGGCACAGTCTCCTCTTTGTCAAAGGCCTGGATGCCAGGGCTTTGGCTGCTGTGAGAAAAAAAGAGTAATGGATGGACTAGGGTTGGTTGGTTGGTTTGTTGCCCTTATGGTTTTCAGGAGAACTGTCTAACAACAGTGGAAAATGGTAGTAGCATGGTGTAAATGTTATAGGGGGTTGACAATGCAAATCTCAATGTTTTTTTAAGCTTTCACATAACAACCTGCTAAATTAAACTAGCAAGTTAACCTATGTGGCTTTGAACCAGCCAGTAGCAAATGTACTTACTGTGTGTTATTCATGTCATCCAAGTCTTCAGAATGGTCCAGTCCACTGTGTTTCATCATGATGTTTAATTGAGGTCTCCTATCTTTTTACTCAGGCTCGTGCTCAGCCGCCCCCAAGTGGGGTCCATCGTGGACCGGAGGCCCTGGAGCAGCAGAACCAGGTCCAGAGCCTCCTCCCCCCTGACACCGAGCACCGCCACAAGAGGAGGTGGTCCCACTCTCAGCATCGCTCCGTAGGGGTTCTGCCCCAGCCTGAGCCGGAGGAGGAGATGAAACCCTTCGTTCTGGACCTCAATAACTTTCCTGAACTCGCCAACGCAGACATCAGCTCTCAGAACCCCAACATCCAGGTGAGTGGTGATGATTATTGTTTGGATATTTGAAAAAAACTCTCACTCTCAAAGAGATTTTTCACTCTTTACATTGTAGGGCGGGAAACTCATCTTATACCAATGTGTAGCGGCGTGCCCATTTGGTAAGGCAATGATGAGGGTAGAGATCTGTTACCTGAATTCATTTCTATGGTGTTGATGTTCTCTGTGGCATGATGAGTGGAATATTCCAGAGAATTTCAGCAGAAGGACAAGTCAGCTTCATATCACATAAATCTACCGCTAGTTGGTTACATCTTCTGGTCGATTCCAGGATATGGTTAGCTGGAGCTGCATGTAATGACCCCAGGCTGGCTCTGCCCTCTTATGGTGATGGAAGTCCCACACCCTGTTGCCTGGTCCTGACATCCACTACTATGGAGACTGTGTCCCAAATGGCAGCCTATTCCCTGGGGCTCAAAAGTAGTGACCAAGGCTCAAAAGGAGTGCACCATATAGGGAATAGGCTGCCAATTGGGACAGAGTCCCTGGAGCTTTAACGTACAGGATGAGTCATACGGTAATCACCTACCAGTCTAATGAGATGTAAAAAAGCATAATAAATGCTCAGGAACTAGGATAATCTGATTTAGTGCTCAATGCTCAATGTGTATCTTGTTTCTGGCTGGCCAAGTCAGAGCTAGAAATTAGGCAGGTCAATTTCCTTGGTACTTCCGGAGGTTGGGATTATTTCCGATGATTTTGCTCAGTCATATCTTGCTTCCGTTGTGGCTTTCGAATACATCCACTTTATATAATTTAAAGAGCCTGTCTTTTTTTACATTAAAGTACAACTTTGTACAGACTTTGTCGGCATGAATACACCAGAGTATGTAGAGGTTGCTATTCATAGCTAGTTTAGCATGCACAGATCTTTGATACCAAGCTTGTACATTATGTAATAACATTTACTATCACCCTCTCTCCTCTCCCCCTGTCCCAGGTGACCATTGAGGTGGTGGATGACCCTAACATAGAAGTGGAGATGGATCTGGTCAAGGACTGGATCCCTCCTTCCTCTCCGTCCACTGTAGACTGGCTGGGGGGTAAGAAGCTGTTCTGGCCCCTGTTCTGGGGCTACACAGACGCTGACTCCAGTGAGGATGGGACAGGCCGCTCAGGGTTGGAGGAGACTGGAGAGGAGGAGGAGGAGGAGGAGGAGGAAGATTACGCGTTGGAGTACGGTAGTGAGGAGCCCCTCCCAAGCGGAGTGGGGGGAGACTGGGACAGTCGCTGGAACGAGGGTTGGGACGCCACTCATAGCTACTATGGTGAGGCTTCTTGTCTTCGCTAAGGCTGGGTTTACACAGGCAGCCCAATTCTGATATTTTGCCAATAATAGGTTTTTTGACCAATCAGATAAGATCTTTTGCCAATAATTGGGCAAAAGATCAGAATTGGGCTGCCTGTGTAAATGCCTAAGTGGCACAGTGTCTGTCTAGCTGTCACACCAGCCATCTTAGTTAACACCTAACCTGGGATCACTTTGACTACTGTAGAGTCAACATGTCTCTACATAATAATAATAATATAATAATATGCCATTTAGCAGACGCTTTTATCCAAAGCGACTTACAGTCATGCGTGCATACATTTATTTTGTGTATGGGTGGTCCCGGGGATCGAACCCACTACCTTGGCGTTATAAGCACCGTGCTCTACCAGCTGAGCTACAGAGGACCACTACATGCCAGTACGCAATAATTTTGGCTTCCAGGCAACGGTTCTGTGCCAAAGTCTTTCCAAAAATCATTCTAATTGGAAAACTTTTAATCTTTGATCCCCTGGTCTTTGGCATGCCTGTCTGAGAGTAGTTGAAAGTGATAAAATGGCATCCAAAAGTTGAGGATGCCAGCTAATGTTTTGAAATGGTGGGAGATAAAGAGATTTATAGGAAGTGACTATAGAAAAGTGGTACGATATAGACGGATAGAGAGAGAGAGATGCAGCACAGAATTGCGAGAAAGATAGAGAGACAGAAGTATTGACTGAGCATGCGAGCAAGAGACCTCTCCGCTCCACGAGCACTCGACCGTCAGGCCCATTGTGGAGCCCAAGCCTTTGAAGTGGACACTGGGTCCCAGCCCGCAGCTCACTGTGGAGGCCTGCTGTCTTTTGAAGATGGGCCCGATGCACTCGCTAATGGCAGCGTGAGCCTGTTCCCCCGGACAGACAAAACAGCCCACTGCTTGTGAACAATTAGAGGGCAGATTGGGAAGAGGGGATGACAGGGGCCATTCGGCTGGGTCTTTCATCCCCCCTCCGGGACCCCAGGACCCCAGACCCTGGCTCGGCCCTCTGCCCTGGGCGGCAAGGCCTTTTGAGCCAGTTCAAGAATTCGGAGGCTTTCAGGGCTGTGCATAACATTTACTCCTCTATTGTTTTTTGTTTCTCTTAATTCTCCTCAGTCCATCTTCTCCCTCTGCATGGTGGGAAAAGAGCAGCATGCCTTCTGGCTGCACAGGCAGGCAGCTTTATTCAGCCCCGCAGAGCAGAGCAGACCCAATGAAAAGAGAAGGGAAGAGTATGGATGTGGAAACTTGTGGAAACTTTAATTTAAAGGAATGGAAGAGACAGTGGGCTGGGAGAATCCGGCCTAAGAGAGTAGACAGAGGAGTTACAACTTCATAGTTTGATGAATGTTTACATTGATAGTACACAGGCAGAGGATCTCCCTGTTTAATTCTAAGTCACAAATTTTTGTCAGTGTGCACTTTGCCTCTACCCTTCAGATCAGACAAAGGGATTGATTTCAGACAAAGAGACTGATTGTTAACTCTGGCAATTGCTCTTAACCTCAAATCTCAAAGAACCAAAACACAGTACCTTCCTATAACAAGAGTATAGAATGTATATGAGCATGTGCATCTTGCTTGAACATTGCTAAATGAGGTGTATGTGGGTTAGGAACAAGGCAACCATGTCTATTAAGTGGTCAGATATAAAATATCTAAAAACTTGTAGTGAACATGAAGTATGTATGCCAGACTAGCGTAATGTATGATTGGGGCTTCCCTCCTGTAATTAAAACGCTCCTGGACTGAGAAGAGTCTATTCCTGTGTTCTGGCCACATGGTGAGCTGGCAGCGCCACAAAGGCCCAAGCTGCACCGTCAACAAAGCTGCCATTTCTGCGCCCACCTCGTCTTGTCTGTAATCGAGGGCGGACATGTTTTCGGTATCATTAACACCAGACTCAAACCTTTCAGAAGCAGATAGAGATCTTCAGCCCCAGCGCGGAGACTTGTCTCTAATTTGGCAGAGCCTACATTACAGGACTATGGGCCTGGGAGAAGGTTAGACCAGAGGAAAATTATACTGTTGCCTGAGATGGAAAACCTATATACAGGCCTTGTTATGGTTTAGCTATAATAGTAAATACTAACATTTAGTAGATAGATTTTTTGCAGATAATTAGACCTGTATTATTTTAGAAAAACAGTTAATTAAGGGGTCTTTGAGAGGGAAACTCTACTCCTGTGTAAGAGTCTACAGTATTTTCTGGTTTATACTTCGGTTCAGGAAAGGCATCTAAACCTAATCTAGCGTTGTTTCCCAGCAGCACTATTTACTATGAGGACTTTCCCTTCATGCCCACTCCTAATCAACCCTTTCAAGTTGTTGTTTTCCTTTTCCGTGATAGCTTATTAAACGTATGTGGTGAACAAGCCAAATGCTTTTAATTGGAGTTCTACACAGTTAGCGAACCTAGTTAGGGAACCCTACAGCTGGGAGAGGAATTCAACTCTCTCTGATTAGAGAGTGAGCATTGGGGGGAGGGTTGGGGATTCTAGGGGTGTGTTGTGGTTCCTACACATCCGTTTTGGAAGGAGTGAGATACTAGCTTACTGTGACCAGACAGAAGTTTTGCTAGTTAAACCAAAGGTGAAACAAATAAATGTATCAGTCTGGTCCCAGGCTAATGAGTTACAGTTACTCCACAAAATGGAAACCACTATGTAAATCCTTATCATTGATGAGTTTTGGTTTTGTTGTTTTGTCTTCCCCCATACAGAGAAGGAGGGGACGGAGGAGTGGAGTGCCTGGTCTCCATGCTCAGTCACCTGTGGTCATGGAGAGAGGAAGAGGACCCGGTCCTGTGGCTACAGCTGCACCCTGACAGAGGCCTCCAAATGTGACATGGAGCCTTGTCCAGGTGAGCTTCACACACAACTTTTATTCTAGATTCTGGTCACTAACTCCTAGTCCTGAGCCACAGGATGTACAGGCGTTTGCTCCAGCCCAGCACTTACACACCCAATTCAGCTAATCAAATGTAATTGATCGACTAGTTGATTAGCTGAATCATCTGTGAATGTGAGCTAGAGATGTTATCTAACTAAATGGTACCGTTCCTGTCTCTGCAGATGATGTCAACACAGTGGCTGAACCTTTCCCCTTCGAGATGGAGAATGGCACTGAACCGTTTGGCACAGGTATGTCGAATCAATGTACACTTAGCAAATGGATTAGCTAGGTTAAGCAAAAAGGTTTATCAAACTAGCAGACATGGGTAGTTAGAATGTACCTGCTGATCTAATTACATCTGACATGGTCTCTCTCTCCTCTCCCTCTAGATGTGGACACATGTGAGAAGTGGCTGAACTGTAAGAGCGACTTCCTCCAAAGGTACCTCAACCAGGTCCTGTCAGAACTACCCAGCTGCCCCTGCGCCTACCCCTCGGCCGTCGCCTACACCGTGGTCAGCGTTTTCGACGAGGGACACGACCAGACCTTCCGTTGGCATGACGCCAGTGGCCCTAAAGAACGCCTGGACATCTACAAACCCTCTGCGAGGACTTGCATCCGCTCGGCCCTCTCTGGCGATGTCGCTACGCTCGGCGCCCAGCACTGTTGCTACGACGATCGTGGCTGTCTGATCACGCGGGGAAAGGGTGCAGGAACACCCAACCTGATCAGCACGGATTTCTCCCCGGAGCTCCACTTCAAGGTGGACGTGCTGCCCTGGATCCTGTGTAAAGGGGACTGGAGCCGCTTCCATGTGGTGCGGCCGCCCAACAACGGCCTGGTCTGCCCTGAGAACCCCCACCAGGACGTGTTCATGAACGAGCTGGAGGAGGCCCGGGAGTACTGAGAACACACGCAGCAGCCAAAACTACACTACCCAGAATTCACCCGTACAGTGTGGCCCAATCCTAACTTGAGAAGGGAGCATGTGTAGGACTGTTTTGCATTGCATTTTGCATATAAGGAGGTATGGCGGTTGTAAGGTTGAGGTGCAAGTTGATTTCAAGTTAGGATTTGGCACATTAAACATCCTGTGACCAGACCCAACAGAACAGAACTGAACTTAATTGAACTGAACAAAAAAAAAAGATGCAGTCCTGTCAATGCTTGCCGACGTGTTTCGCATCCAGCATGGTACCAAGCTCTGTCTCTCTCTTGCTCTCTGTCCCTTAGTCTGGTGCACTTCTGTGTGCATATAAGCACGACATTGTCGTGTAGCCTGTTGGTGGCTTGTTGTTGGTGTTGTAGCTCTGTGTGATTGACGATAGCAACATAAACATCCCAAACGTACTTCCTGATTTGATTTTGCTGTGTGAAATGTTTGATACTGTAGTAAGTCTTATTTTGAAGAGGGGATTGTGGAATGTGTCATGCCCAACACATTAATATAGTCATAACTATGCTGCTATGAGAAGATGAAGTTCGATAGGTACTGAAGGGGGACATATGATTGAACAAGCATGAATTTGCTGAAAGGTTATTCTTAAAAAATATAATCTAAAGCTGAGGAGCGAATTTGGTCTAAAGAAAGAAGTTTACAAGCACGAACAACCACACCCAGCACCTCATGCTCATTCTTGATAACATGCCAACAGAACATCTTCTTAGAAGCTTGGAGGTGGAGACAGTCTTCTGGTCTGGACTGAACTTATCGTCCTCCGTTTCAACAATGACAGTTTGAGAACCTTCAATCATGGATGTTTCAACAGTTTTCTCAGGGGGACTCATATTGTTAGAGATTATAACCCATATGCACCTCAGCAGTGGAACAGCATTGGGAGCCACTACTTCAGAGTGCACTTCAGAGTGTACTTCAGAGTGCACTTCAGAGTGTACTTCGGACTGTACTTCAGAGCGCACATTGAAGATGAGAATGGTACCTGTTACGGAAACGAAAAAGTTGGATCTACAGTGTAAATGGATGAAGAGCAGATAAATACAGTATTCATTAAGATAAAGTTATGAAATTATGCTCTTTGTGCGATTTTTGGCAAGCCATTTTTTCTGTCAATGTAATTAAAGTTGAATAGCTGTTTTATTCCATTACGATATGTTGCATTGTTTTTGCAAAGACTTCGTAGGAGTGGGAACTGTTGGCTTGAAGTCTTAACATTTATGCTCCAAACCTCTTTCAGGAATTCTATTTAAATGTGTGCAAACATGCATTACATTTTGAAATCACATGTTGTTGTTTTTTTTAAAGGAAGGCACTTTATTTAAGGTATATATACAAATGATGGCATGTATGAAAATCAAATGTACCCATGTTTTTTGCATTTGTTTATATGTTATAATGTTATAATTGTGAAAGGATAACTTGCCAGAAATGTTGCATTGTTCATTTGTAAAGTATATTATCATGTGAGTTTCTGTTTAAAAGCATGGTTGATCTTTTGTGATTTCTTAAACTAGTATAACTATACTCATAGAAAAAAGGTGCTATCTAGAACCTAAAAGGGTTATTCGGCTGTCCCCATAGGAGAACCCTTTGAATAACCCTTGCTCGTTCCAGGTAGAATCCTTTTGGTTCCAAGTAGAACGGTTTTGGGTTCCATGTAGAACCCTTTCCACAGAGGGTTCTACATGGAACCCAAAATGGTTCTACCTGGAACCAAAAAGGGTTTTACCTGGAACCAAAAAGGGTTGTCCTATGGGGACAGCTGAAGAACCCTTTTGGAACCCTTTTTTCTAAGAGTGTACCATATGGTCTTGTACAGTATTTATTGTCCGTTTTTTAAAGTCTGCTAAAGCTTTGAAATGACTCTACTAAAACCCACATGGTGCACTACTAGGGTTGCAAAATACACAACATTCACTTTCCCAAAATACCCAGGTAAAAAAAAAATCCTGGCTGGAGTATTTCTGGAATCAGCAGGGCATAACCTGCAAGGGAATCATCCAACCTGGAATTCTTCAACCGGGATTTCTGGAAAACTCCTGGAATTGTTTCGGGAAAGGTTCTGGAATTTTTCAAACCTAATTCGGACTGAGACACTCTGACGCCACGGTGACGTCAAAAGGGAAACGACCGGCCTCACATGACATGACCACTCCAACAGCAACTCCATCAAGTGTCTCTATCATTTTATCATTTTATTGTACTTCCGTGCTATGAAAATATGTTGTGACAAATACAATGAGGAATATAAAGACGTTTGCATTGGTTGTCTTTCTCATGATTGTCCTGATTCTGTCCTTCTGTATACTATCAGATGTCTTTGAAATTCTACTAGCTGCTCTGTGTAGTTGACTTGATCATATACAAATCCACAACTCATCTACAACATTTCAAAACACAGTAAAGCATAAGAAAAGATAGGCGCAATTCTCTCTTTCTAAAGGTGCTTAGGTTTATTGATGTTTTGGCCCAAGGTCTTCATCAGAAAAGGCTGTCGACTACCCTCCAAAACAAAGTTGAGCAGCAACATCAGTGAACTTTTAACGGCCCTGTGTTTTACTCAGTAGTATCATTTCCAAATTGAACGTTTTCACAAGAACCTGATCTGTGGAGCATGCCCTCTCTCTCTCAGGGTCTCAGCCAGGCAAGCAGAGAAGAAGAGAACGCTGACTGGGTTTTGATGTCTTTGTTTTTCCACTTGCTGTGCCTTAACCAGGGCCATCCAGGCATGGCCCGCTGACTGATCTTACAAGGCTGAACCCCAGCCTCAGAATGTGTGGAGCAATCTGCTTTCAATTGGAGACCAAACGGCCTGAAACGTTATACATATTAGGACAGACAGAATGTTTTATTTTACATGTTGGTTTTTCTCGGAGCAAGCTCCTCTATCTTCTTTTGGCTGCAAACAAAAAGGCAGGATCAAAGAGGCTTTTGTCTCTTTGTTGATTTTGTTAGTAAGTGGGGGATTGGAGAATGATTGAGTAGAACATTGAGATTAGTTCTATTCCCCACCTGGCCACCTCCAAATCCTGAACTTGAGCTGCAAGACACAAAGCAACATTGGCTCATAAATGTATCTTTATTATGTAGTTCAATGATCCTCTTTAAAAACAAAATGAAAAGTTAGTTCTGTGCCACATTAGAACCTAGGATGAAAATATTTTCCAAGGTTAGGAGCTCAATTGAGAGTTTAACCTTCTGTTTCTCAAGTTGACAATCTCAACACTGGATCAATGATTTCTCTTCCAAAGGTAGTCGTGACTATTAACTCTCTATTTTTAGTGAAATAATGAGAAGCAGGATTTAACTTTGCACCCTGATTCAATCACATGAAGAGTATTCAGACTGGTTACATTATTACATTAGCATAGTGAAACACCATGGATCAACAGAATCAGACATTAACTCAATTTGCTTCATCAACTGTTCTCCAGATGGTGTCAATTTGTTTTTAAAGTTCAATCCAGAGTTTGGAGAACCCAGAGTTCATAACGGAACTAATGCTTCTTAGACCAAAACATCCTTACCTATTAATTACCATAGAAAGCACAGGGACCTCGTTCTTTTTCTTATTGACACAGGGAATTATCAAGTGCAGGGATGCTAATGTGGTAAACCAATATAGAAATGACACAAAGTCAAAGTCAGATCAAACACAATTGTAGACCTTCTATGGAATCAACTTGGTTTCACCTGCTATAGGGTGAGGAGGGCACATCACATCCGCATTGATTGTTGATTCTATAGCTCACAGATTACATCATAGCCATCAATCTCGTCTGTTTTCTGGGTTGTTCTAGGTTCTCTAATCTTTACATAATCATGTCTGTCCGTAACTCCGTATACTCTTACAGGGGGGTTAAATAACGGGGATTCAGTCTTGAACTTTCTGTTACTTCTACTTTTTGTCTGTCTAGTGTATCTCAAGTATCTAAAAAAAAATACAGTTTTTAGATACTCTTAATTTCTATAGGTCCTCATCATAACGCATAGCATAGTGTTTTTTTCCTGCCTCTCTGTGACCTGTAAGAAGCGAGAACACCAGAGGAACACTAATACTTCTAGAATGGAACATTAGGTCGCTCATGGGTCAGGGTGCAATTGAGTCTATACTGATTTGAGATACGTATAATTAAAAGCAGGAAAAGCTTAAAGAAGAAACACAAGTGTTTGTTTGCTCATTCACACAAATGCAGGACTGGTTAATAAAGAGTTGATGGTGTGTATGTGTTCTACAGTTATATTGTTCTAAATTCAATCAATCAACTTTATTTTATGAAGCCCTTTTTACGGCAGCAGTTGTCACAAAGTGTATTACAGATACCCAGCTAAAAATCCCAAATAGAAAGTCATGCAAAAGCAGAAGAGCAGTGGCTAGGAAAAACACCATAGAAGGCAGAAACCTAGAAAGAAACCTAGAAAGGAACCAGGCTCCGATGAGTGGCCAGTCCCATTCTGGCTGTACCCAAAATTGACTTCTGTTATGTGAAAGTATGCACACATATAATGCAGTATGTGAAGATTTGTATGTATTTGAGCTGCCGATAGAATCGTTTAACTATAAACAAATCTGTGTGAGATAGCGTTTTACAGTTAGTTCTAGTTCTAAGTTGACTACAGATGAGTTGTCTGTGGAATGCGTCCAGACAGATGCTGACCACGTTTGTTCTCTGCATAATAGATAAATATCCACAGATGTGAAGACAGAACAGAGAAGCAGACATGGGTTCAAATACTATTTGAAATAATTTCAAATACTTTATCTGTGCTTGACTGAGGTTCCCTGGCTTAATGGACCAATAGAATAGTTCCACAAGTGTAATCCCTGCCCATCTGGCACTCTAGGCAGGCTAAAACAAACTCACAAAGTATTTGAATGATTTTGAATAGTATTTGAACCAAGGTCTACAGAGAAAAAAGGAAAGAACATAAAAAAAAGGATTGGAGCC